CCACCCCCCCGGTGCCCAGCCAATGGGCACTGTGGAAGGGGGGTGGGCGGAGCCTCCCGCGCGGCAGGGGGCGTGTCCTCGGTGGGCGGGGCCACGCCTTAAAGGGGCCGTGCGCTCCGCAGAGCGGGCGCCGCCGGGGCGGGTGCTCAACACGCGCGCCATGAAGGAGATGTACCGCAGCTACGTGGAGATGCTGGTGAGCACCGCGCTCGACCCGGACATGATCCAGGCGCTGGAGGACACCAACGGTGAGAGCCGGGGCCGGAGCGGCCCCTTCCGAGCCCCGGAGCGCGGGCCCGGCGAAGGAAACGTCCGGAGAGCCGCTCTAAGGGGGTCGGGATAGGGAATTCTGGGCTAATGCAATGTTTGGAGAGCAGGTTTGGGGTGTCAGGATAGGGAATTCTGGGCTAATGCAATGTTTGGAGAACAGGTTTTGGGTAGCAGGGAATTCTTGACTAATGCAACCTTTGGAAAACAGGTTTTGGGTCAGGATAGGGAATTCTGGGCTAATGCAACCTCTGGAAAGCAGGTTTTGGATAGCAGGGAATTCTGGACTAATGCAACATTTGGAAAACAGGTTTGGGGTCAAGATAGGGAATTCTGGAATAATGCAACATTTGGAAAACAGGTTTTGGGTGTCCGGGTAGGGAATTCTTGATCAATGCAACATTTACAGAACAGGTTTGGGGTGTTGGGATAGGGAATTCTCAACTAATGCAACGTTTGGAGAGCAGCTGTTGAGGATCAGGATAGGGAATTCTGGGCTAATGCATTATTTGGAGAGCAGCTCTTGGGGGTCAGGATAGAGAATTCTTGATTAATGCAACATTTAAAGAGCAGGTTTTGGATGTCAGGGAATTCTCAACTAATGCAACGTTTGGAGAGCAGCTGTTGAGGATCAGGATAGGGAATTCTTGACTAATGCAACATTTGGAAAATAGGTTTTGGATCAGGATAGGGAATTCTTGACTAATGCATTATTTGGAGAGCAGCTCTTGGGGGTCAGGATAGAGAATTCTTGATTAATGCAACATTTAAAGAACAGGTTTTGGATATCAGCGAATTCTTGACTAATGCAACATTTGGAAAACGGTTTTGGATATCAGGGAATTCTCGACTAAGGCAACATTTGGAGAGCTGGATTTGGGTGTCAGGGTAGGGAATTCCCGACTAATGCAACATTTAAAGAGCAGGTTTTGGATAGCAGGGAATTCTGGACTAATGCAAGCTTTAGAAAACAGGTTTTGGGTGTCCGGATAGGGAATTCCCGACTAATGCAACATTTAAAGAACAGATTTTGGATATCAAGGAATTCTTGACTAATGCAACATTTGGAAAACAAGTTTTGCATATCAGGAAATTCTGGACTAAGGCAACATTCGGAGAGCAGCTTTTGGGGGTCAGGATAGGGAATTCTGGACTAATGCAATGTTTGGAAAACAGGTTTTGGGTGTCCAGGTAGGGAATTCTTGATCAATGCAAAATTTACAGAACAGGTTTGGGGTGTTGGGATAGGGAATTCTCAACCAATGCAACATTTGGAAAACAGGTTTTGGGTCAGGATAGGGAATTCTGGGCTAATGCAACGTTTGAAGAACAGCTTTTGGGGGTCAGGATAGGGAATTCTTGATTAATGCAACATTTGGAAAACAAGTTTGGGATGTCGGGATAGGGAATTCTTGACTAATGCAACATTTGGAAAATAGGTTTTGGATCAGGATAGGGAATTCTTGACTAATGCATTATTTGGAGAGCAGCTCTTGGGGGTCAGGATAGAGAATTCTTGATTAATGCAACATTTAAAGAACAGGTTTTGGATATCAGGGAATTCTCGACTAAGGCAACATTTGGAGAGCTGGATTTGGGTGTCAGGGTAGGGAATTCCCGACTAATGCAACATTTAAAGAGCAGGTTTTGGATGTCAGGGAATTCTCAATTAATGCATCCTTTGGAAAACAGGTTTTGGATGGCAGGATAGGGAATTTGTGACTAATGCAACATTTAAAGAACAGATTTTGGATGGCAGGGAAGTCTGGACTAATGCAATATTTGGAAAACAGGTTTTGGATGGCAGGATAGGGAAATCTGGGCTAATGCAACGTTTGGAGAGCAGCTTTTGGGGGTCAGGATAGGGAATTCTTGATTAATGCAACATTTGGAAAGCAGGTTTGGGATGTCGGGATAGGGAATTATTGACTAATGCAACATTTGGAGAACAGGTTTGGGGTGTCGGGATAGGGAATTCCCAACTAATGCAACATTTAAAGAGCAGGTTTTGGATATCAGGGAATTCTCAACTAATGCATCCTTTGGAAAACAGGTTTTGGGTGTCCGGGTAGGGAATTCTCGACTAATGTAACATTCGGAAAACATGTTTTGGATGTCAGGATAGGGAATTCTTGACTAAGGCAACATTTGGAAAACAGGTCTTGGGTGTCAGGGAATTCTGGACTCCCGAGCTAACGGGAAATCTGGAGAGCTCAGGCAGGAGTGGTCCCATATTGGGAGTATAATGGGAATAGAAGGAGGAGAAACCTGGGAAAAGCAGATCGTGTTGCCAAGGGAATCACGGAAAAGCGGATTCCCCACGTAGCGACCGCCGGGAACTGGTCGCTCAATCCCACCCCAAGGCCCTGCAAGGCCAGAATTCCACCCGGCTCCGTGTTTTCCCGGTCCTCCCGGCGCTGACGCGTCCCCCTTCCGCAGATGAGCTCTACCTGCCGCCCATGCGCAAGATCGACGGGATCCTCAACGACCACAAGAAGAAGGTCCTCAAGCGGGTGACGCTCAACCCGTCCCTGCAGGTGGGGCTGGGGGCGGCCTGGGGGTGCAGTGGGGCAGGGGGAGGTCATGGGTGTCCCCAGGGGCCCCATAGGTGACATTGGGTGCTGCGTGGGTGCCCCATGGATGTCCCTAGATGACGTTGGGCACCATGA